AATGGGAGAAAATAATAGCAAACAAAGCAACTGACAAAGAATTAATCTCAAAAATATACAAGCAACTCCTGCAGCCCAATTCCAGAAAAATAAACGACCCAATCAAAATATGGGCCAAAGAACTAAACAGACATTTCTCCAAAGAAGACATACAGATGACTAGCAAAGACATGAAAAGATGCTCAACATCATTCATTATCAGAGAAATGCAAATCAAAATCACAATGAGGTACCACGTCATGCTGGTCAGAATGGCTGCTATCCAAAAATCTACAAACAAATGCTAGAGAAGGTATGGAGAAAAGGAAACCCTCTTACACTGTTGGTGGGAATGCAAACTAGTACAGCCACTATGGAGAACAGTGTGGAGATTCCTTCTAAAACTGGAAATATAACTGCCATATGACCCAGCAATCCCACTGCTGGGCATACACAGTGAGGAAACCAGATCTGAAAGAGACACATGCACCCCAATGTTCACCACAGCACTGTTTATAATAGCCAAGGCATGGAAGCAACCTAGATGCCCATCAGCAGAAGAGTGGATTAGAAAGCTATGGTACATATACACAATGGACTATTGCTCAATCATTAAAAAGAATACATTTGAATCAGTTCTAATGAGGTGAATGAAACTGGAGCCTATTATACAGAGGAAATAAGTCAGAAAGAAAAACACCAATATAGTATACTAACACATATAATGGAATTTAGAAAGATGGTAACTATAAACCTATATGCAAGACAGCAAAAGAGACACAGATGTATAGAACAGTCTTTTGGACTCTGTGGGAGAAGGTGAGCATGGGATTTTCTGAGAGAACAGCATTGAAACATGTATATTATCACATGTGAAACAGATAGCCAGTCCAGGTTCGATGCATGTGACAGGGTGCTCAGGGCCGGTGCACTGGGATGACCCAGAGGGATGGGATGGGAAGGGAGGTGGGAGGGGGCATTCAGGATGGGGAACACATGTACACCCTTGGCTGATTCATGTCTATGTATGGCAAAACCACTACAATATTGTAAAGTAATTAGCCTCCAATTAAAATAAAAAATTTTAAAAAAGAAAATTTCAAAATACAGAAAAACACAAAGAATTTTATAAAGAAAAAAAATCTAAATCTAAAAGTGATTCTAAATCACTGCAGATGGTGACTTCAGCCATGAGATTAAAAGATGCTTACACCTTGGAAGGAAAGTATGACCAACCTAGACAGCAAATTAAAAAGCAGAGACATTACTTTGTCAACAAAAGTCCATCTAATCAAAGCTATGGTTTTTCCAGTGGTCATGTATGGATGTGAGAGTTGACTACCAAGAAAGCTGAGCACCGAAGGATTGATGCTTTTGAACTGTGGTGTTAGAGGAGACTCTTGAGAGTCCCTTGGACTGCCAGGAGATCCAACCAGTCCATCCTAAAGGAGATCAGTCCTGGGTGTTCATTGGAAGGACTGATGCTGAAGCTGAAACTCCAATACTGTGGCCACCTCAGGCAAAGAGTTGACTCATTGAAAAAGACCCTGATGCTGGGAGGGATTGGGGGCAGGAGGAGAAGGGGACAACAGAGGATGAGATGGCTGGATGGCATCACTGACTTGATGGACATGAGTTTGGTCTCTGGGAGATGGTGATGGACAGGGAGGCCTGGCGTGCTGCAGTCCACGGGTTCACAAAGAGTCAGACATGACTGAGGGACTGAAGTGGACTAAACTGAATTGAAGATTCTAAAAGTCTTGCTAAATTTGTCCCTGAGACACTTTCACATCTGATTATTTAGTGAGGTGGGGACTTTGGCTTACTCATCAATCATAATACATTGTTAAGCAGCTGCTCAGTGGCCTCATTCCTCAACTTTCTATTCAGTGCCAGATCAGAAATTCCACAAATTGGATTTTTTAGAGCATGCATATTTACTGCTGTATGTTGCACAGGTATATTTCCAGGATTCTTGTTCTGAGGGAAACTTTGCAAAATAAAATAAACCTCTTGAGTACTAGTAAATTGGTATTCCATCTGAGGGGTACAGTGCTATAGTTGTATTGCTTGGTAAATCAACTTTAAATAAACATTACAAACTCTGTCTCATTTGAAAATTGAAGATCTTCAAAAGACTTGTGAAAGTCTCATTCAAGAGATTTTCTACTTCTGTGATACAGCATTCTTAATCAAGTCGATACTTTGTATTGATGTTGTGGGGTATTGACTTTTTTCTGAAAAGTTAAATCATTTAAAGAGTTTTTTTTTTTTTTTAACTTGCTTACTTGGCTATTGTTTTTATCTTGTTTATCAGGATTAACTCTCATGAGTCTATAGTCTGATTTATAATTTTAAATTTAAAACAAGAAAAGAAAAACTCTCATGGTAACTTATTTGTTCAAGAATACAATCTGTTGGAAATATCAATGAATAGTAGGCACAACTCAGATCTTACATATGCTCGTGAAATGTTTGGTAAAATACTCTGAGTGTCTGTTTGATGGCCTTCTATAAGGCCTATATACAGTTTCAGAGAATTTGAGCACTATTTAAAATGTGTAAAAAACACAGATCGCGTTAGTGCTTTCTCACTTTTATATTTTAAAAGTAGCACATGAAATAGACAATAGAGGTTGCCATTCTTCTTTTGCAGTGGGTCTGACAAAGGTTAAGGAGAGAAAAGTAAATCAGTTTTGTGAAAATTAGAAAAAAATCAAGTGCATAAAGAAGCAATAGAAAGTACAGTTAGGCAATAGAGCATATTCAGGACCCAAACTTGGTTTTGCAGTTTGGCACCACCAATGTCTGGTTATGTGAGCTTGGATGGGTCTCTGTGGGCCTTGTGCCTTATGTTTACAGAGATGTTCATACTGAATCTCCAGAATATATAACACCTTTGTATGTAGAATGACATTTGCTTCCAAATGAAATGTGTGATTTTTGTTCAGTGGCTGTTAGTTTCCTCAGTAGGGACACACGTGGACATGCGTTTTTTTCCAACATCTGAGCCTTGTGACTGTGCTTGGCTCATCATGATGTCCCCGCCCACTGTCACTGGAGTGGTGATGATCCCAGGTCTTTTCTCCTCCTGGTAATTTGCATCTGGCAATTTGGTCCTGAAGCTGCCTCCTCTCCCAAGTGCCCTGAAGGCATTGTAAGTATCTCTGGGGAGGCCTTAGCCAGAATTTACCACTGTGCTACGCACAATGGTTTGTTGCCTCTTCTCCACCCACCTGGCATCTTTTGCCTCCTTCCAAAGATCAAGGCTATTTTGAGGCTGAGGGAAGGGACAGAAACAGTCTCCTTCCCTCCAATTCTGAAAGTCCTGGTAATTCTGCAGTTCTTGCAATAACCATCCAAAAAATAGTTCATGTTAGGTCTCCAATAACAATTGTCATGGAGGCTGCAAGGACCTATAAGACAGACCCCTGACTTTAAGGGGCTCGGGATTTTGTGGAAACAAGCCCAGAGAAACTGTTCATCCTTGAAATACGTCCTGATTCATATGATAAGCTAAAAGCAAGTTATTTTATTCTAAAGAAAATGAAGCTCAGGATTTTAAAAGTATTTAAACAAAAGACCTCAAAACTTCAATTCAATCTGAGAAACAACCAGTTCTGATTGAAAATGCCAAAGAAAATAAATACCCTCATGTCTATCTGTCCCTCTCAAGTCAACATAAAACCTTAAAATTGCTCTTCAAAATGGAAAGGGTGTTTATTTCTCTTTTCAAACTAAAAACAAACTTTAAAAAAACCTGTAAAATTTATGGGGTCTTCAAAGTTGGAAAAAAAACCCAAAACATGAGTTTCCGAAAGAGACTATTTGTAAAATGAAAAAAATCCATGTTCTGTATAAATATTACCACCTAATATGACAAACAACTCAAAATAAAGATGACTGCTATAATAGCCTCCAGATTCAGTCTGCCATAACTAATCTTAATCCACAGTTTACTATTATTTCAATTAAGAATAGTGATGAGTGGGCAATTAACAAATAACAGTGAATATAAAATAGAATTTTTTTTCCAAAAGAATGAGAGCAGTATAGAAATATGCATGCGCAAACATCAATTTGAAAGTATAATTAGGATTGATTTAAGAGGGAAGAAATCTGAGAAGATTATGAGAAGAAAAGATAATGTGATCAACTGCCAAATCTTCACATTTTAAGTACATACATTTAGAAAAAAATAAATGTCTGGTGAGGTTTTCTTCCCTAAAGGAAAAGCAACATGAACTAATACATTGTTTTATTTAGTGCATGAGTTTCAGAAACCTCCTCTGGGTACCTTTTGCTCTCTATCTCTAACTCCCTTTCCCCACCTCGTAATTTGGGGACAGTCTTTCACGTATTCTTTGGGGTCAAGAGCTTGGGCCTAGCGTTGTGGAAGGAACTTTTTTCTACAACTTGGACCAAACTGTCCTTTACTTCCAAGCTGAAGATTGTCTATAAACGCAAAATCATTGTATTTGTATTTGTTTTGTATTTGTAACATTTTAAATTCTTTTCAGAAGTTGAATAGAGGCAGGGGAACATAGTGGCTTTAAAATCAGACCAGGCTATGGAGTCCCAGGTCAAGATTCACCAGTTGGACAACTCTGGTTGAGTTACATAACTGAGCTAATTCCACCATTGCAAGGTATGTAAAGTACTTGGCAAATAATAAATAAATAGTAAACGCATGTTCAGTCAGCCAGTACCTTCTCATCAGTGATCAGACTTCTGTGGTGTAGTTGTTTTTATTGAAGAAAGAACTGAGGCCCAGTCAGTGAACTTCGCAAGTTACCAGAAAAAGAGGAAAACACTCAACTTTTTGTAACAGATATCCTCATTCCCCTATGAACTGGAGTCATGCTGGAGATAGGACTTAGACAAAGTCTAATTATTTCTGAATGGGCACTCAACAGTTATCAAGATCCTGGCAATCTGCATAGAGGAAAATGACAGCAACGTTCCCTGGTTACCATGATCACATCCCATTTTTATGCAGCTGATGAGAAAAGATGTCCTACCCAGATGCCGTCTTCTTGCTTGTATTGTTTCCAGTTGCGCCCTGTGTCACTGAACATCAGGCTGTAGCTCGTCACCCAGTCAGAGCTTCCGTATCTTCCCTGCGTGGCCACCGCTGTAATCTCCACTCTGTTTCCCAGGTCCATCTGGAGCCACTGCTGAGCATTGGAATCTGCTGGGGACCAACCGCCGGTTCCTGGAACAGGATCAGAGGGAGAGAGCTGTAGCAACATCTCACAGAGCCACGACTTCCACCTCTCAGAGAGGAAAACAAAAGAAAACACAGCAAAAATACAGTGTTCAGCTAAAACCTCTTTATAACGCCAAAACATGTCCTACCTCTCCTCATAAACCCCTGGTAACTTAAAAAATTTTTATTGGATTATAAATTGATTTATAATGTTGCATTAGTTTCTGGAGTGCAGAAAGTGATTCAGCTATACATATGTTCATTCTATTTCAGATTATTTCCCCTTATAGGTTAAATCAATTAGGTTATCACAGAATATTGAGTAGAGTTCCCTGTGGTATACAGTAGGTCCTATATATTGTATAATTTGTATGCTATTCCCAAATTCCTGATTTATGCCCCTCCACATGATTTCCCTTGGAAGCCATGAGTGTTTTCTATGTCTGTCAGTCCATTTTTGTTTTGTATATACATTCATCTGTACGACGTTTTTGTATCCCACATGTAAGTGATAACATATGACGTTTACCTTTCTCTGACTTCACTTTGTAGGATAATTTCTCTGCTGTGCTGTGCTTAGTCACTCAGTAATGTCCAACTCTTTGTGACCCTATAGACTGTAGCCTGACCAGCTCCTCTGTCCATGGGATTTTCCAGGCAAGATACTGGAGTGGGTTGCCATGCCCTCCTCCAGGGGATCTTCCCAAACCAGGGATCGAACCCAGGTCTCCCACACTGCAGGTGATTCTTTACCATCTGAGACACCAGGGAAGACCATGAATGCTGGAGTGGGTAGCCTATTCCTTCTCAAGGGGAATCTTCCTGGCCCAGGAATTGAACTGGGGTCACCTTAATTGCAGGTGGATTCTTTACCAGCTGAGCTACCAGGGAAGCCCTATGATAATCTTTGCTGCTGCTGCTAAGTCACTTCAGTCGTGTCCGACTCTGTGCGACCCCATAGACGGCAGCCCACTAGGCTCCCCCATCCCTGGGATTCTCCAGGCGAGAACACTGGAGTGGGTTGCCATTTCCTTCTCCAATGCATGAAAGTGAAAAGTGAAAGTGCAGTCGCTGAGTCGTGTCCGACTCTTCGCGACCCCATGGACCGCAGCCCACCAGGCTCCTCCGTCCATGGGATTTTCCAGGCAAGAGTACTGGAGTGGGGTGCCATCGCCTTCTCCAATAATAATCTCTGCTGCTGCTGCTGCTGCTAAGTCACTTCAGTCGTGTCCGACTCTGTGCGACCCCTTAGACGGCAGCCCACCTGGCTCCCCCATCCCTGGGATTCTCCAGGCAAGATAATCTCTAGATCCATCCAAATGGCAAATGACATTATTTCATTCTTTTTATGGCTGAGTAGTATTTCCTTGTATACATAGACCACATCTTCTTTATCCATTAATCTGTCAATGCATATTTAGGCTGCTTCTATGTCTTGGCTATTGTAAACAGTGATGCACGAAACATTCTTGACCCAGTTTTCACTGTCCTCTTCCATTAAATTCTCTTTTGTGGTTTAAGATTCAACTCAAATGCTGTTTCCTTTATGATTTTTCCCTTTTCTTGTCTATTATTATAGTTTTCTTCTTCTAGATTCCTAATGGGGTTTATTTGATCTACTTTCTATTTTTTCACAACCTTAACCTTCAACATGACTTGTATCCTCTGTCTGACTGGTCTTTTCTTGCTCGTTCTTTGCTTTTATCTTTCATTCCTCCCTTTCTGTTCCCTGATCCTTAGCTCTCTCCAAATACATGCTGTGAATCTGCCATGGGCCAGACATTTTTCTGTGGATGCAAAGTTTCATGATCATTAACTATGTCTTTGAAAAGTTAGTGATCACTCATTCAACAGATCCTCACTGAGCATCAGGAATGCGCTGGGTAATGAGACAGAGGGACACACAAACAAAAACATGTAATGTGATGGGAAAGAAAACCTTCAGTGAAGTAAACACAAGGCTCAATAGAAGCACAGATTATAGAATGCCTCAATAGGTGATCAGAAAGACCAAGAGACAGTGATAGTGGAGCTGCAAGCTGAAGCAAGCATGGTCATTCCCAGCAAACAAGGTGAAGCAAAGCTGGGAGGCCAACAAAGGCCAAGAAAACAGCATGTGCAACGTCTCAGAGAGACTTGAAAGAGAAGGTCCCAGCGTGGGTCTCCCTGTGAGTCCATATGTTTGACACACAGGAACTGTCTAGCATATAAACCTAAACCTCTGGGCCCTGGAATTTTATCACGTGACATGCTGGAACTCTGCAGAAGATCCATATAATCTCTTCCTTCTTTGGAAAACTTGTGACCTAAGTTTTCTGTTTTCATTTTACATAGGAACAAAGAGGTATATATTCATTCTTCCTGACCCAAGAGTCTACAAGGCATCTGAATCCTGAGTGAGATCTATTGTAGAATGTCTATGCTATGGATGCACTCCCAAAGTTCACGGTAGCATTATTTACAATAACCAAGATATGTAAACAGCCTAAGAGTCCATCAGCTGATAGTGAATACAGAAGAAGTGGTATGTATATGGAATGGAATATTACTGAGACATAAAGAAGAATGGAATAATGCCATTTACAGCAACACAAATGGACCTAGAGATTATCATAGTAAGTGATGTAAGCCAGACAAGAACAAATATCATATGATATCATTTATATGTTGAATCTAAAGGAAAAGTTACAAATGAATGTAGTATATAAAATGGAAATAGACCCGCCAAGATAGAAATCAAATTTATGGCTGCTAAAGGGAAAAGGGGGGATGCATAAATTAGGAGTTTGGAATTAACAGATACGTACTATGAGAACAAAGATCTGTTATTAATATATAGCATGGGAACTATACTCAGTGTTCTGAGATAACCTGTAATAGAAAAGATAGATATATATGGATATAAAACTGATTTACTGTGCTGTACACTTGAAACTAGCATGACATTGTTAATCAACTATACTTCAACTAAAGAAAAAAATAAATAAGAAACTTTTATTAAGAACCTTGCTCAGGGCATTGGATTGGCTGCCTCATTGTATTTTTTTAATTTAGAAGGGTTAACCAATAAATCCCTTTTGATTTCAACCTATGTCATTGAGAATCATTTCAGTCATGTCCCAGACTACATTCTTGCCATCTCAGGAAGAGTCAGTTGGACCCATTCTTGGTACTGAGAACTTTCTGAACCCCATCTGGCTTCTCATTGCAGAGAGAGCTTGACACTACCCGGGGACAGGTTTGTGAACAAAGCGGGCATAGAACATGAAGTGGACCTTACTCTGGCCATAAGGCATATTCTACCAGTTATCAATTGACTTTCTCCCAATAATTAGCTAGTACTATGATGAAAGAATTGATGCTTTTGAATTGTAGTGCTGGAGAAGACTCTTGAGAGTACCTTGGGCAGTAAGGATATGTAACCAGTCAATTCTAAAGGAAATCAACCCACAATATTCATTGAAAAGACTCTTGCTGAAGCTGAAGCTCCAATACTTTGGCCACCTGATGTGAAGAATTGACTCATTGGAAAAGACCCTGATGCTGGGAAAGATTGAAGGCAAAAGCAGAAGGGGTCAGTAGAGGATGAGATGGTTAGATAGCATCACAGACTCAATGGACACAAATTTGAGCAAACTCTGGGAGATAGTGGAGAACAGGGAAGCCTGGCGTGCTACAGTCCCTGGGGTCACAAAGAGTCGGACACGACTTAGTCACTAAACAATAATGACTCTAACTAAGCAGGACCCAACAGACCTTCTCAGAATAGACTCCCGCCGCCCCATGTCCTCTGCCTGCCGTTTGTCTGTAGACAAACCCTACAGACAAATAAATTTAATTAGGGAAATGAGAAAACACAGACAGAAAGGAAAACCAGAAGTAAGGCCAAATAACAACACTTCAGCCGTTAAACAAAGTCAAGGACCTTCACTTCCTCCTCAAGCCTGAGTCACATTCTGTGAGCTGTTTTGCAGATATTTAAATCCCCACCAGGTGGAAGAAGTTCATGATATGCTGTTCATAAGCGTGTAGACCCCAGACCAGTTAGAACCAGAAATGTGATGATGCTGACTCACGGTTACGTCACCACCAACCAATCAGAAGAATATGCATGAGCTGGTCACCCACACAGGAGCCCTCTCTCGCTTGGTCTTTAAAAACCTGTCTCTGAAATCCTTTGGGGTACTCGGGTCTTTTAAGCACTGGTAGCCTGGACTCCTTCAGTAAACATGGGCCTTCAATAAATCTATTTCTCCTACTTCATCCAAGTCATTCTCTGAGATTCAATCTGGCCAAATTTCAGCAATGGTACTTTTAACCTTTTGTTTGATAATATTTTTTTTTTTCACTCCCCTGAGTAGATTCAAATGCAGGGAAAGAAAGGAAGTATGCTCCGTCCTCACTGTGGAATGTCTTTTATTCAGTGTTTTGCTAGATATGAATACGTTGCTGGATATTACTGATATTCACTAATATCCATTCTCTCCTTTTGTAGTAACAGGACTATGGAGGGTGGATGGATTAACTGCACTTTTCAGCTCCCAATACCATTTAACTTATAGCCTTATGGACTAGTTCTCCCCAGTAAAAATGTGAGTGGAAAGAAGATATGCCACCTGCAAGCCATCGGGTCTCTTCCCCACTTGCTTTCTCCTTTCACACTGATGGAGGGCCAACAAGGACCTAGAAGATGTCAGGATCTCAGCATGGAAAGATGTTAGATTCCTGCACCATCACATGTTAACTACATTATTAACGAGAACTAAATATTTATTTTCTTTAAGCTGTTGCATGTTGGAATCTATCTGACACTGCAGTTTAACCTACCTTAATACATATAGAATATCCTGTGGAGTAAATAGAATAAGGCCTATATTATAGTTGGGGAAACTGAGATCCAGCAGTTGTAGAACGCCTGGGACTCATGACTCTAGCACTGCTATTTGAGACAATTATATAAACAGGAAAACATCCTAGCAGCCCAAAAATCAATACAGAAGGGACAC